CGGTACGGTACGTACGTACTCTCTCTCTCTCTCTCTCTCTCTCTCTCTCTCTCTCTCTCTCTCTCTCGGGGCAACATTTTAATTAATTGAGCTAATGGAATTTACATGCTGCGATGATGATATACAGGCTACGCCGCGTCAATAAAACGCGCGTGTGTTTGCGTGATGAAGAGACAAAGAGACAGTTATGGATAAAAGCAGCAAAACGATAGAGACCTCGTCGATCGTGCAACACTCACTCACGGGGGTGCAAGAATCCACTATTTCGATTCTGGTAATCCGATCCCGAGCGCGATAACTTGATCCGTCGTATTATATAAATCGAGGATTTTTTTAGCTCTTTGCCTTTTTGCTCACGGAGACGACAGACTCGCGAACGTAAATCCGCTACCGTGCGGCGCGCGTACACGTAATTTACTTTTTACGAGTCGGAGGATTAGCCCCCGCGCGGAGAACGAGAACGCTGCGTGCTCGTAAATAAGCCACAAACAATTCGCGAGAGCGTTGGACATTACCGCGAAACCGAACACCGTCGCCGGACGATCGGCGGAACTTGGAGCGATAGGAGGCGACACTTTTACGAAGCGTTCGTTCGCGATCGTTCCCCCGACCGTAAATCTCCCGTTTGCGGTGACCGGTCACCGCGATGACGACGGCGCGGTTAATTCACGCGCGCAATCGTTGCACGATCAATGCCGTGAATCGGACCTGTGTGAACTTCCTCTCTCCATCCATCATGCCTCTGCCATGCCAATCGGGATAGACGGGCGTTCTTCTCGCGCCGAGGTGTTAAAGGCGATTCGCATTCGCTCACCCTTTTGTACAGCATCTCGGTGCAGTCTGCGCGTGGCCGTTGTTGTTGTTGCTGCTGCTGCTGCTGCTGCTGCTGCTGCTGCTGCTGCTGTTGTCCTTGTCTCATCGGACTCATCGTGCCCCCGCCACGATCGACCTCCCTGCCGATTGGACTCATCATTTTTCTCTCGCCTGCGAGCAGAAAAAAGGATAAGTTACGATATCGCGTGGGAGAAAGCCGCTCGCGAGAGGAAACGGGATGCTGAAAAGGAAGTCGTGTATTTCTGAGCGTGTCGTAACGAGCGAAAGGATATATCGAGGAACTATCGGAATCGGCTGATGTTCCCGAAGATTTTCTTCTTTGTCCTACCTCCTTTTCTGCCTTCTCGCTCGCGGACTCAAACTCGGCGGGACGGCGAAAAAAATTGTAGTAACTAGCGAGTAGATTGACTTTCTCCTTAATCACGTGAATGGCAGTCATTTGTATTTGCGCCTCGAAGCGTCGGAAGTTACTTACCTCCTTTCATTACGATATTACGATATTACGTCCGTCGTACGAGATGTCGCAAATATTGTACCATTCTTTTCAGCCACGGACCGCCTCCGCGAAATTTCTCTGAGGAACTTCAGAATCTTAGCAATTTAATTATAAGCTAACGATTTTCTTGTATTCTGGACGTTAATTCTTGATAATTAAATTGTAAATTAATTTTTTGTTAAATTTAATCTCGTTCACTTTTTCTATTTTTAAAAGGAGCATCGAGAGATCGAGATATTAGAATATTTGTTTGGATTCTGCTATCTGTGCTGGACTAATAAATCTGTTTAGGATATTCAAATGCCTATAAAAATGTTCTACAGCTGTGACCGTTAGACGCATCGTAAAATAGAGAAGCACTAGGACTTCCGTCTTGCGCAGAAATTGCGCAACTATTGTGCCTATGCAGATCAGATTGCACGAGGAAAATTCTTGGTGGACCGTGGCATTTAGATTGCGAGTGATGTTTCCTCCATTCTTTTTGAAGACAGTACTTGTGAGAGAGATTTATCCTCTATCTTTTACGTGCTCTCGAAAAAGTCAAAAACAATATTCTTCCAATTTTCTCAGTATTAGAATCGTTCAGATGCGACTTTCCAAACATACAGGTGTTCAAAGGGAAACAGCAGGGAGAATTGATTAAAAAATTACATCGATATCTTATTCTCGAAATTCACGTCATTACACATATTTTTTCAACTCGAGGAAACTGACAGTCTAATTATAATTTCAATATTAACAGAAAAAAGATTTTCGATATAATAATGGACAATAATAAAGCTAATGAGAGTCGGCTGTACAAACAATTATATGTTTGATCTTACCTACATTTTATTAGTAAAAAATGTCAAACGTTTCGATTAGAATTTCACCAGTCGTCTTCAGCGATACAAAAATGTAGTAAAGATAAGGACATTTGGCAATTTTTATTAATAAATTGACATAAATTGAGATTAAACATATAGTTGTGCGCTGTTTGCACAACTATGCTGATTCTCATTAGCCTTTGTCCATTGTAGTAATAATTTTTTTTTCATGCATTGGAGCCGCCGCGTAATGTTCACGCGGTAATATCGCGCAACCTTAATCCGTATGTTCCTCGTAGTGAATTACCCGTAGCTTGATATCGATCATGCGTATTACCTTTGCATAGTTAGGCGGGGCGCACGAATGCACACGGGGATTTCCATTATTCCGTGTTCTGCATTAGACGGGTGGCACACAAACCTTACCGGGACACCGCCGCCACGGATCCTCGGATAATTAACTCCGGGCGCCCGTTGAAATTCTCGACCTAAATTTATGTGCTTTTCAGGTGGTTCGGCAATCTCGCGATTCAGAGCAGACGTTAAGTCGCCGCTTAATCTCGCGGGTATTAATCGCTCATCCGCCAAGTGAGGTTCTGTTCATCATCCGTAGGTTCGCGCGAACCGAATAATCTAAACGAGCTGGGCTAGGTCTGACTATTAGGGATGGAGATTTCTCGTTATAATATATTATATCGAATGTAATTACGTAAAAAGTCCGATTTATTATACGTTACATAATAAGGCAAGGGAGAAATTATTTTTATTCATCGTACTCTTACTCAGCTTATTTTACAGCTTATATATTTATCCGTTGAACGGAATACTATTTTTTGAACAATGACGAAAAAATGTTTGCAAAAATCATAACGTTTTTTTCCCGAATATGTGCACGAATAAATTCGTGCTACGAAATTAGAAGATAATTTTTACGTTCTGAAAATTCATCCCGTATAGAAAAAAATCTGATTAATTAGCGCGCTTAGTAAGTCATTAATTTCGTACAGCGCAATGTGTCCTGTTGAAGAACCGTTTTATAAACAACATAGGCGTTGTCTGCCTTGGCACATTGTCTTTGTCAGCGTAATTAATTAGCGTACCACTTTTGTGCGCTTTGCGCGGGAAGAAGAAAAGTCGATACGGGCGCTCCAACTCGAAGACGTTATTATGACAATCCGGCCGACGTTGTAACTCTTTTTTCCGAACCGCCAAAACTTGCCATCGCGAAAGCGATCCTAACTCGGCCTATTACGGCCAACGTATTAATTGCGCCTTAACCAACTTGGAGTTCTTGGCAAAAGTTGAAAGTTGTTCTTTCATAAAGCCGGATTCTCCGCAGTAGTCGTCGGACGATTAATCGCCTCGCCGCTGCCTGAGTCGGCTCATCAAGAAATTCCCAGGGGAGTATCGGGCAGGTCGATAAATTGTAGACACAAAGGGAGACTTACTTGGACTGTGCACGCGTATCTCGCTGTCGCTGGGACTGGAGACGCGGTGGTCGTTTAACGAAGCGACCCGCAAGTGTCCGATCGGGCTGATCAATCGCTGAGTGGAATGACCGCCCGGCGATGCCAGTCTCAGGTCCCTCACGTCGTTACCGGTAACCCTGAAATTTGACGAGCAGGTCAGTCGGGCCGATTTGTAGAAGGCCGCGTTTGAGATGACGTCATAAAGTGATTTAACGCGAGGAGAAGCTGACAAGGAGAAAATTAAGTTGCCGAACGACTCCCGAAACGACGATCCGGAATAGTGATTTCCAAGGATCAGGATTGTATCCCTCGACGTTACAGCCGTAAAATAAATTGAATCAACAATTTCCGAATCGATGTTTCTTCAGTTGACATCACGACATCACGCGCATTATTATCTCACGAGTTCGGTTGATAGTGACAGGTGTTTTGTCGGTGAATCATGGGAAAATCGATGTTTATCGTTACCGAGACAGATGGCTGTGCGATACAGCAGAAATTAGATTCGCCGTGAAGGTGAAACCGCGACGCGAATATGCGCGAGAAAATTGTATTATCAAGGTGACGCGGTTTAGCTCACGCCAATAAATAGAGCCGAGTGAGCATGAGAGCGGCTCGCGCGTCGATTACGACATCGCGACGCCCTTCGGTCTAATTACGTCCGCCTGGCTTCTCCATACGACGGAAATTTAACGACGCAATTATATTATGGACTACATGGGCATTTAAAAATGGTTTAAAAATGCGCCCTCCGTTCGGATGGAAAAAAAATTTCCTTTTGGATAAAGAATATCAAAATTTGTTTTAATTTCGCCGTTATGTGAGAAGTTAAATTAATTGGCGCAATTGCGTCATACGGTGCAATCCTCGCGTTACGCGAGACGTCAAGAACACGCAGGGAATTTGATCGGCTGTACGTTTCGCGTCAAACTAGCAACGTGTTGTTGTTTGCGCAAGCAACGTCGAGCAATTAAGCGCAGCGACTTAAATGGACGGACCTACGCGCGAGGAGTTACGTGCGAGTACAGCGAGCTATTTACAGACTAAATCGGGCGATAGCTAATCGGGCCGCACTTGTATGGAAGTGCACGCTGCTGCCTTTTATGGCAATTAATTCACGCTGTCCCCGCATTCCGTTTCGACCGTACCATACAGTCGAATGACACGATTGAGGCGGTCGGACGAGGCTGACGTGTCTTTAACGCGGTAATCGTGCGTACTAATACTACTTATCGCCGATACGTGTGATCTTTTTTAAGCGCTTCGCAAACATTTGGCTATCCGCGGTGTCTCCGGCAGTCACCACCTCAAAGTGACTAAACAGTCGACAAACTAAACAACTCCCACGAAACGGAATTAGACAGGGCAGGGTTGCGGCCGCGCGAATACGCGTTCGCTAATAAGTTTCCCTATTACGGGGTGCGGATAGGGGCGGCGGTTAATTACAGCGCCGCCGAAACTTCGTTATACGAAATACCGGGGGCGAGGGGGAGGAGGGGGGGAGGGAGAGGGGAATTTGAGCTTCTACTTACATGCCGGGGCACTTGCCGATGTCGCCGTTGCTCGCGGCCCTCAGCATCTGGGCGGTGGGCTCGCTCTCCAGCTGTCTCATAGGCGTTAGCTGCTGCGGAGTCGAGCGATGAAGCGGAAGCGGTTGTTGCCGGTGGCTGCTGCTGCTGCTGCTGCTGCTGCCCGCACTGTTTCTCGGTAGCGGAAGAGTGGACACCGCCGTTGGCGGTTGAGTCAGCGTTCTTTGAGGCAGATGAGACGTACTGACGGCTCTGGGCGGAAGCGGGTCTCTGCCTATCACGGACCCCGAGCCGGACGCTGCGAGGAAGAAACACATGCACATGTGAAAATCCTATCGCACGATCACGTATATATATTTAATTTAAAGCGCACTTTCATCAGAGTACGCGAGTTAGTTTCATACGACGAGACGTTATTTGGTAATTGAACCTTGCGCGTGAAATCTCATAGGCATCCTCGGATTGCGAGGAGTCGGTACGAGGCCGTTCAGGAAACGTCTGTCCCGCTTGAATGGGAAAGATGGGAGAAATATGTGGGAAACCGGTATGGATATTAGATTGAGTACTCTATCATACATCGTTCGCTCTTGGCGAACAACCAGTCAGCCGTTAGCGGTCAAAAGTGAAAAATGTATGTGAAATGATGTATGCGATTAAGATTCCGCGATCGATCGTAATAAGAGTGAATCTAAATAAAATTTGCATGTTACAGAGTACAATTGAGCTGGGTATTTTTATTATTATTATGTATCAACAAAGACATAATTTTGCATTAAAATAAGGAGAAAATATGGAAAATATAATCTAAATTATATAAAAAATAAAAATACACATTTTTTAATATAAAAATAGAAAATAATAGAAATTATAATGTTCTTTAAATATAATAAATTACTATAATAAACATAGCAATAAAAATACGGACATAAAAATATGAGAGTTAACATTAACATTATTTATGAAACTCTCGTATATATTTTCCTAAAAGTTTTACAATCTCTAGATTACACGTTTCTTTCCTCGCTCCAGGATAAAGAAAATCTACGTGAAAGTAGATGAAAGTAAATGCCCGATTTATTCGAAATACGAGAGGTATCTGGCTGTAGGCCCAAACTTCTCAATGATCAAGTCTCACGCTAGCCGTCCTCGGTACGCCGGATGTATGCGTATAGTGAATATGGGAATGGGTACGGAATGGAATTGACAGACACGGGACGAGAGACAGAACGGAAACACGTGATGCTCGGGGCAACGGGAGCGGCGGTAGACCACCGCGTTTGAGATTGACGAGACAGACGACGAGAGAGAGAGGAAAGGACAATTTATCTCTCGGCGCAATTAAGTCAACCTCCGGAACCAGGCCATACGCGTGCGATTACGTAAGATCCCGTATTGCGCCAGGGAACCGGCTAAACGCATCGAGCGCAATCGCGCGTGTTTGCGATTCCTATTTTTTTTTCCTTCTCTCTCTCCTTCCTCCGCGCT